TATATATATTTAAGACTTTATATTGAATTTTCTTTAAAAAATGTAGAAATATTTGGGATCATAACATGTGTTAACCTTGAAAGCGTACATTAATGAAAAATTATTGTTAGACATCATGTGTTACTAAACAATTATCCCATTAGAATATTTTAATAGATCATATGTTTGACAATTTTTTCAATATTTACTAAACATATATTCACTTATCAAAACTATATCTATAACTTTAACAAAGTAAGATTGGAATAATATTCATGTAACAAAAAAAACCGAAAAACCCGACAAAACCGAACCAATCCAAACCGATATAGTTGGTTTGGTTTGGTTTTGATAAAAATCGAACTAACCCGGTCCATGTACACCCCTACTTGTTGGATTGATGAACAGACTTGAGAGAATGCTAGATGGATTCTTTAATGTTCAAGTGATGTTTTGCCTTTGGTTTAATGTTAATATTACATAGGTGACATCACTTGAATGATGCAAGCATGTTTGGTACAAGGGCATTCCCAATGAAGTTAAATATTGCACTGTTTTGTACTGTTGCGTGTGCAGGCATCAACTTTACAGCTATTGGGAGGTTGACTGGTACGGTCACCAAGGGAACTGGTGTCCATCCGTTCCCCTTGTTGTTTCTTTGACTCTTAAGAGTTGATTCACTTCCCCAGCTTGAGACTTGTTATTCTCACGTACTTGAGAATGTGTATCAGGTACCTTATCTGGTTCTTATCATTAAGTTTGTTAGATCATCAAAACATAACAAGAATGTATATATCCTATTAATCTCCCCCTTTTTGATGATGACAAACTTATAATTGAAGTTCCCCCATAAGATCCAGAATTCCCCCTGAATCTGTTGTTCCCTATCTTGTTCCCCCTCAAGTTACTCTTCCCCCTTTTGGCATCATAAAAAGATCAGTAGCAAGCAATAAGCAAAAAGAAGTCTAGCTTTGTTAACTCATGCCACATGTGTGCATACAACATAACATAAAACAGAGCAAAAGAGCAAGATATGCACAACAAAAGGACGAAATTATCATTAAGTTTTGGAAATAAAGTAGGGAGCAGTTTCATTGTTACCAAATCATCCACAAAATAAAAACAACAAAAGGTACCAGTCATAAACATCTCTAAGCATAAGAAAAGAGAACAGAGGACAAACACTAAGAACTTGACACTGGGAAGGGGATGGCTATTAAGGAGCACTGGAATGGGGAGCACTGGAGGCAGAGAAAGAGGCAAGGGTTCGAATAAGAATGTCCGTTCGAGCATTTGCGGACACCTGCTTGGTTAGCATCATTTCCTTCAGGTCCTCAACCTGTTTCCTGAGAGCAGCATTTTCCTTTGTCAGACGGGCAACCTCTGTGCTTTGGGAACTGCTGGAACTAGGTGCCTCCTGGGCCTGACTGAGCTAACCTTTTAGAATGGCATTCCGTGCCTTCAGCTTCCTTATTTCTTTAGTGGCAATATTTTGAGCGTTGATCAACTGAGAGATGGTGGAATTGCTGCCAACCCCTCCACTCCTATCAATGCACTCGCACTCTTCAAGGGTAGTTTTGTAGAAGGATTGCTTGTGAGTTCCTACTTTATCCTTTCCCAAGGGAACTTTGAAGAATTCAAATACTTTAGTGAGGAGGAACCCGTAAGGCAACCCATGATTACCATCCTTGAACGCTGCCCCTTTCTTTATGTGCCCTATCATAAGACCAGGCAGGTTTATAGTGGTGTAGCCATCCAGTGCTTCCATGAGAACCAGGTCTGCTCGTGATGTAATGGAGCGTCTTTCAGCACGGGGGAGCAGAGCTTTGTTCACCATTTCGAATAGCAGTTGGTACACTGGAAGGAGGGCCTTCATGTGTACCCATTCCCCTTGCTGCACTGCCTTATCCTTCACGATGGCGTTTCTGAAGTTCAAAGAGCAGACCCCCTCAATGGAGGACATCCAATCAGTGGGCACGCCCAAAATGGTTCCCAGTACAACAGTATCCATCACAAAATCAACACCATTCACTTTCAGGCAGATGGTATTATCCTCAACTGTGAAGAAGTCAGCATAGAAACTACGCACTTCTGCCTCATACACCGTAGGACTGTCACTTGTGAACAATTGTGTCCACTGTTGGAATTCACAAATATCCACCAGTTGGCGCATTCCTTACATGCCAAGAATATCAGGGGCAAATGTACGGCCCCACAACACCTTTTGGGTTTTCAAATTTTCCCTTCCAGCATACTGGGTTGCACCAACCTTGGCCTTCTTGGAGGAACCAGGTTCCTCACTGTCACCAGCCTTCCTTTTCACTGATTTTCTTGCACTTTTTCTTTTCTCAGCAGATTTCTCAGACGTTTTTTTCTCAAACACTTGTTCAACCGACTCTTCGGTCACTTTCTTCCCAGACTTGGCAATTGCTTTCTCATCAGATTTGTCAAATACTTGCTCACCAGATTTTTCACCCTCAACATTGCTCAAACCCATCTCACTCAAAGATGACTCTTTCTTGGACTTCAGAATTGTAAGTTTCTTTGAGGACTTACGAACTAAGGAACCAGGTTCCTCATCTACTTCATCATCAATATAGACAACTAGTGCTGGAGGCACTACCTTCTCATTTACAATCTTCCCATCCTTTACCAATCCCATCTTCTTCTGTTTTTCTTTGCTTTTCCTAAGAACTGACTCTAGAGTTTCCTTGTCCTTCAACCTAGTGGTAGGTCTCTTAGGAGTTGCCTGTCTACTCCTAGCCCTGATGAAGCTCGCAAGAGCCACATTGTCATAGTCATCTTCACTATCCTCATTCCCCTCCTCAGATAAAGATCTCATTTCAGGGACAACAATGGACAATGGCTCAGCGTAGAAATGAGGAGAGGGAGCGGGATCAGTACTGACTTGGGGTTCTTGTGGAGAACCGGGGGTTTTATCCCAAGTAGAAGCAGAGGGCTCCTCTTGGGTGGAGGGATCAGATCCCTCAGTTGGTTCCCCAGTAGTACTGTCAGGTGCCAAAGTTTTGACAGGCACCAGTTCCCTACTCTCTACCTGCATACCATTTCCTTCCCCCTGAGACCCATTGGCTTCAGACACGCCCTCATAACCCTCAATAAGACTTCCCTCAGCAGCTATGGACAACATATTTTCTATAGCCTCTTGTTCCTGTAACTCCAAGGTAAACTCAGAAGACATAGGAAGAGCATTATCTGTAGAATCGACAACATACAGATCAAGGCCTGGGGTAGTCTTTGCCGATTCATCACTGTTACAACCCACTCCTTGCATCTCAGAACTTTCGTCCACTGGTCGACTGGAAATTTCCTGATTTTCTTTTTCCGCCACTGTATCTGCTTCTACCTTTTTTTTTCGACGAGACAGAAGGAGAGGTTGCTGCCACAATTTTTTTGGGAGTCGAAGTTTTGCGACTCTGATGAAAGTCAGTACTCGACTGAGTTGGAGAGGAACCAATATGTGGTTGTGACTCTAGCTTAGGGTTTGGACTAGATGGTGTAAGGATTGTAGGCTCTAGCACTGGGGTTTCAATGGGTGAAGACACAGTGGGGACGATGCTTGGAACATTCTGAGTTTCCAGATTTCCAGACATGGTGGAAGGTAGTGAGAATTTGATGGAAGAAGAGGATGTTTGGTTTGAAAAAAAAAAGAATTTTTGGCTTTGATGTAAACAGTTATAATAGTGACTGTGAGAGAAGTTATTTAAGAAGGGTGAGGGACCGGTTAGGAACGGGTATCGATTTGGGTAGACGGGTCGTTTCATAACGGGTAGGACGCTTGAGTTCCAAAAAGAGAGAGAAAAGGAAAGACTAACATTTTAATGACGTGGCACCATTTTAGCCATTAAAAAGATGTGGATAAGAGTACATAGAAACTACTAACCTGTGTCAAAGGAACCAGGTTCCCTGGCAGATTTTGTAAATGTGCACTTCATCCTTTTGACTAA